GGTCAGTGGCGGACCGCAAATCTTCGAATGCCGTTGGATCAGTCCCGCCCTCGAGCATATCTCTGAGCATCTGCGCTTGCACAGTGCTCATCGCATGCAAAGCGGAGGCCGCCCGTCCCGCCGCTCTATAGGAACGCGCCGCCATGGCAGACGAGAACCTACAGGCTTTGGATGGGTGCCTAGGAGGACCACGGAGGAGGCGCTCTGTGGACACAGCTGTATCGCAACAGAACGCTCCAGCGGGGGCATCCCAGTGCACCCACGGGCGGCCCCCCATCGAGGGGGGAAAGGCGGGGGAGAGATCGCGCTCTCGAGTGGACAGAGGAGTCCCCCAAGAGGGCGATAACTCCGCATGCAGCTCGGGGAAAAAAAGGCAATGGAGTTGGCCGTGGCCTCGCGGCGGCAGCTTTGTCCAAAAACCAATTATCCCTCCGTGAGAGATCGGGGGAGAATGGAGGATGCCACTCTAACCCAATACTCCCAGCGGCTTGAGACAGCATGCCGTCAGCTCGGGATCCGACACGGGCAGCGCTGGCTCTCCCGAAGGGGGCAGTGCAGCCGCATCCTCATCTCCCGAGGACTGTAGCCCGCCTAGTGATGCTGCGATCGACATCACATCATCATCTGGAGCGCTGCTCGAAGCAGCCGGTACCACTGAAGAGGCAGCCGACTGAATCGAACTAACGCTCGCTGGCTCACGCACTGAGGCGGGAGGTGTGGCCCGAGAAATCGTCGGGGCTTTATGCCACACCGTCACCGTTAATTCGCCGGGTCCCCGGTCGACGGGCCCCCTTTCGTGAAGGAAGCCGATCGAGTAAGGGGGACCGGGGCTCTCACTCTAGTGAGATTTTTTTTTTTTTTTTTATATACAAAAATATATATTTTATATATAAAATATATATATATATACATATCTTTTTATATATATATATATATATATTTTTTAACCTCAGTGTGGAGATGGTCATGTCCCCATAGCAGGAACATGAGTCATCCACGAACGCTGCTGCTGCATGCTGAATGCCCAGGCATACAGAGCAGCGATCGCGACCATCAGATGACGACAGAAATCGACCGCATCCAGAAGAACACGGGCGAACCGTCTTTAAAAAGACGTGCCGCGTGTAGCTCTTTTACAGAGAGGAGGAAATTCACTCTTTCAGCGCTGAGGCGACCAGGGAGAAGCGCAAAGTCTGGCAGACCACTGCACAGATCGCAGGCAATGCAGAAACTCGCTGGTTACCGCCAACACTGAAGAGGACGCTCGTCTCGAAGAGTCTTGTAATAGCTTTCAGGAGTGAAGAGGTTCTCTTGGCTCCGAAGCGAAAACATACTGCGGTTGCGTTCACTTCCTCCTTTTATACTCACGGAGTAGGGCGGAGTACGCTATGCAAATTTCCGCAGCCCCAAGGCATTGCATGCCATTGGCTCGTGTTTAAATACTCGAAGAGGATTGGCTTTCTATGCGAAACCCCCAATCTCCGTCACTTCTGACGTAACTCGAAGTGACTACGAAAGGGAACAAGGGTGTAATAGAAGACGACGGATCGCCTGTCTGCAAAACTTGCCGTAAAAAAGTTTCCGTGTATTATTTTCGTTAACAACATTTTTTCACAGACAAAAACGAGACGAGAAACTAATGAAAACTAGACGCAAATGTTTGATGGTGATGATCTGGGAAGCGATCCAGTCAGAACTGATATCCTGCGTGTGTGATGCCCACATTTGTACTGTTGGTCTACCCTGCGGTGCCAAAACATGTTAAAATGTAAACGTCTAGGAAAATGAGTAGAGCAGACATAGTCTGTAGATCTGAATAAGAGTGACGATGCAAAAAAAGAACTATATTCGGTACGGTTTTCTGTGGGCACACACCCGACGCGTGCAGCCATGCTCATACACATACAGCGTGCGGGTACTGAACTGAGCTCTCTTTCGTGTATGAATAGAAAAATACACACAACATTATGTCTAAATGTCCAGTTTGGACCGTATTCATGTAAACTATGTCGGTTATGTCTTAAACAGTTGTGAGTGTACCGTGTGCATCAGTGCAATTGGATCCGCATGTCATTGGACATGATTCGACTTCTTAAAGCGACAGTGTAAACCTAATGCGGCCTGTATCTGATCAATGCGGTCTATTGATCAAGCAACAAAAGAAAAGAGAAAGCATTCACTGTTTGTTAATAGCTTTAATAAGGATTAATTATAGCCTATTCATACAAATAAATATGTCTGCTTGAAAGAATAAAGAAGTAGTTATAAAGAAAGCATATATCATTCACTGAAAAGAAGACTGTGTTTTACTTTAGGTAAAGTGGTTTTATTTTGTTTTGTTTTTGATATTGTTTGTCATTTTATAATTTGTACCATGTTGTGGCAGCAATAAATAACACATTAAAATCTAGTGTTGAGTGTTCATGTGATATTATACATTAGTAATGTTGTGAAATTAATTGATGGATAATAAGAGTGATAATCGTTAAACCGTGATTATTTCTCTGACAATAATCGTACTTACAAAATCTGTAATCGTTGCATCCCTAGTCACGCGCTCGTCATCCACTCAAAAGTAATGTTACTATTTGGCTGGCTCGCAAGCCGAAACGAGTGTGTGCGGCACAAAACGTCCTCGCGCTGCACTCTGAAACCCATTCATTTCAATGGCTTGCTCCGCGCGAGGACGTTTTGTTGCTTCTTCGACCAAAGCGCAAGCGGATCTAGACCGGAAACAAAACAACAGGCACGCCGCAAACACATGTTTCGGCTTGCGAGCCGGCTTTGAGTGGATGACGAGCGCGAGACGCCGAAATGGATCAGGACGAATGCCGCGTCCTGTTGCAAAAGCATGTGAAAAAACTACAAAGTTTGCTACGCCGTTAAAATGAGTTTGCGTTAACGCCGTTAATAACGCGTTAAACTGACAGCCCTACTTATAATATAAATTCAAAATATTTCAAATGTGTGCAATATTTTTTTATTTATTTTTTATTATATTTTTATAATAATATTTTTATTTCTCTTGGTTCACCCTCCATATTGTAATTATTTATTTGTGATTTTGCTTTATGTATTCAGATTTTCTAGACTGAACCATGTTTATGATGGAGGCAGGGTTTTTTCCGTTTTTCCATTTTTTAAATTTTCTGACAAAATTAAAACTCTCCGGTCAAATTGTCAGATTAAAATGGTCTAATAATCCTGCCCCCCAAACACAATCTGAATTTGAGAATAAGCCTAAAATGTATAAAGCAAAAATATCCCGACCGATCAGAAGGATTAAGTGCCATTTTACAAGCATTGAATCTCCGGACACTGCTCTCTTATCGATGCCGTAAGCCTGCGACGTGATGCCCTTGCTGTCATGACAGTGCTCCGTGGCTATAGAGGATTGCATTTCTCCACAGCCTACGAAGTCCTCATATGTGATTTTAACGAAATGTTTCCAGTAGGGATGTTCATTTCAATGAATTTTCCCGACCGACAACTGCCGCTCGTTAATCGATTATTAACCGTTAACTGATAAGATTATAATATTGAATTGGCATTAAATAAAAATAAAATTGATGCGTCCCCCATAAAAATACAAACTTTTTTTTTAATCAAAGGGTTTATTTTAATCACGTTTGGACAAAATGAGCATGCATACCACGCGCCTACATTTGAAATAACAAACTTTAGTGCGCAAAAGATGCGATGTGTGAACAGGACTTTGCACGGCTTTTGCACATTGCAAGTTGTGGAGACAGACTGGGAAGTTTTGAATTTAAGTCGGCAGCTGCCCAGTTCTAGCCTGACTTAGTCATACTCATTTTCTAATTATGAGGCGTGTCGTAACCGAACCAGGAAAAAAACCCCTCTGCACTCAATTGGATAGTCGGTAAACCTACAACCAATCAGAGCAACGCAGTAAGTCAACTCCTTTGCATAGCGCAGTTTTCAAATACAGAACTTACTTATTTTAGAAGTTAAATAACGATTGTTGCTTCTTTTACTTACTTCTCCATGAGTGCGACCAAAGGAGAAACCACAACGACCACAGGCTTTTCATTACGTCCCATCTTCTTAACGACCGTCAGAGCCAGCTGATAAGTTACACTTTTCCCGAATCATGTTGGAAGGACGCCAAAAATATCTTTCTGATCGACAAATGCCTTAATTGCAGTTCTCTGTTTGTCTATTATAATTAATGCACTGTCGATTTATTTTACAACAGACGCGACAGCGGAATCTATACATCTCAATTCTCCAGCTGCAGTCATCTCTGAGGGAAATCAGTTAGCGTTCTTTGATAACGTGATGATTACGTCCTTGCAGATCATCTGTCAATCATCGTATAAAGCCCGCCCTGGCAATTTGATTGGCCCGTTCATTTTTTATCTGATCATAATTTCTCCTTAATGGATCGAGTCCAGACCGAACTTCCCCACCAAAAAATGTTGTGGGCGGAGTTCGGGCTGGCATCCAGGCTAGCCCAATTCAGCAAAACAGCGTAAAAAGTAGCCTAAAATGACACGGACAATGTTATAGGCCTAGTCATTTGTTTGTTCCAGTTCATTTGACAAGGAGCCAATTTCACGGTGGCAAATTTAAATGTTACCAGCTAAATGAGACATATGGAGAGTCGAGTGTATAATTAAGTTTGCTTGAGTAAAAACAATTCAGATAGTTTATGTGGGGAAGGAGGATTGGTTTGTTAAACTATGAATGTGAAACCATAGTAAAAACAATTGGAGTTGGTTAATACCAATCAGATGTTCATGCTCTTTTCTGTCTATTTGAAAGTTAGGCTAATAAACATTTGCATTCTATATGGCCTGATTATGTCATTTAAGTCACATAACCTGCTTCGAGTTTTCCTCAACTTGACTAATTAAGAGGCGATATTTGACCGGCATATCATCAAAAAGTCCGTAAATCGAAAACTCTGCTGGTTACTTTGACCGGCACCATTGTGTGGTCATCGGACAGAAAAAAAAACAGTGTGTCTTTTATAGTTCTTGCTGAGGATCTCACTCCATCACCACTGATCTCCTTCAATGAGGCTCTGCAGCATTTTCAGACAACTGATCTTGGAGACTTGCTTGTGAGTTTGTTTCAAGTGGATATGCATTATGACACTATCATTGTCATGACTATTGAGACCATTCTTTTTCTTTTTTCTTAATTTTATACTTGCTCTTCTCCTCTATCAGAAGAATATTCAGCCCACCATTCACAGGACTGGATTGGCTGCCATCACCCATTTCTTGTTCGGACCTCCACGGCTACACAAAGACCTTTTAGAAGAGAGAGACTTAGTGTTTGCCATCGCACAATGTGAGTAGAACATATGACTTGACAAGTTAGGTAGTATGCTTTGTTTAAATGACTATACATAATTTTACTAGTATATTCCAATGGATAATTTGTAGGACTGTCAAAATTATTGTTTTAATGCGTGAAATTTAATTGTAATTAGTTTAACACGTTACAAAATATTTAACATAATTAACACAGCAATTTTTCCATTTTTGGCTAGCGTTGCAGTATATAATAAGACTTTTGTTCATGCAAATATTTTTAAACCATTCAAGTGTGAGATCTTTTCTGAAGAATTTTGCAGAGAGCACACTTCCTTGATTTACATACAAATGTTAAGGGGCATGTAGAGGAAAATTGTGACATTACGACCGAGGCGTTTCAAATCCTCTTATTTCAGAAAGGTGGATAACAAAAATTCATATTTGAAAATGGGGAGTTAGTTATAAACTCAAATGTTTTTATTTATTTTTATTTTTTGTAGAGTACTCTTTTATAAATATAAATGACATATTTATTTTCTATTTCACAACCTATTTTAAGTTGTTTAGACGGCTACTAGAGTAACTGATTAAATCAGGGATGCCTAGAATTAGATTTTTTTGGCCGATACCGATATCCATTTTAACTAAAATTTACCCATTTTTCATGGTGTAGTTAAAGGTCCCGTTCTTCGCGATTCCATTTTCAAACTTTCTAGCGAGATATTTTATTTAACAGAAGTCCCCTTTCAAAGCATACAGCGAATGCCCGGTTTGGACTACATCCCTCTACTTCCTTTTATAAGGACGTAACTAGGAATACACAAAAATAGGGGGCGTGGTCTTGTTGCGCTCCCATGGAGAAGAAGCACTTCAGCTCTGCAAGCATCTCCAATTTATGGTAGGAGGCGTGACGTTTCCGGGCAACATAAGATAAGCCGCTGTCGAATCACAACACAGCGGTTTCGCTGACACAATCAGAACTCGTTACGTATTTCTGAAGGAGGGACTTCATAAAACAAGGAAGTCATCTGGTCGTTTTTTGGACAGTCAAAACAGCCATATACAGATAAGTAAACTGAAAAATACTGTGTGTTTTTTTACACGCGAAACATGAACGCATGTGATATTGCACACTGTACACACAAACAAAGCTTCAAAAAACATGACGAACGGGACCTTTAATATACTAGGCTAACGTTACAGTAAATCCATGGTAAATGATGGGAATTTGAAGACAGAAAAGCTTGCTGACTGTATCGTTGCACACAGTGTTTCTCCTGTTTGTCACAGTGTTGTTTTTGGCAGCCCTTTTAGTTTTAGTCTTAGTCTTAGTGTTTTGGACGAAAATGCTTTTAAGTTTTAGTCACATTTTAGTCACTTATAAACGTAATAGTTTTAGTCAAGTTTTAGTCGACGAAAACACAAAAGGTTTTAGTCGACGAAAACACCAAAAGATTTTAGTTAAGTTTAATCAATTTTAGTAAAAAAAAAAAAAAAAAAAGTAGGCTTTAACAAATTAATTTAGTTTAAAAAGTAGTGGAAATGGGCTTAGGTTTGACAGATTTAGCAAGTATTGCAATTCATAAAACAAGCTAACCTTACAACCTTTGCATAATGAACTAGACTTTCTCATTGATGGAGATGCAGTGCTGCCATTGCCAAGCTGTACTTCATTGTCACATTGGGCAGAAACCTTTTATCCCCGTATTTCAAGTTATAGTTTTACCCATAAATATTAAAAGCCATTTTCACCAGTTATCACAGTAATAAAGGAATAAAGGAATGGTTTAAAGTTTAAACAGCAAAAATGTTAAGCTACTAGAACATTGTACACAGATAAAGTGGTAACAGTGGAATCACTGTTTTACTCCAAAAAAAAGCCAAGAATAAAAACATTCTTACTTTGGCAATTGTGGCTTTATTTGAGAAATTGCTAAAGTGCAATGAACCACATAGTATGCAACAATAAGATGCATATTATTTGTAAACACAAACATTATGTATACAACCCAGTCTATCTTTAACTTGTGCAAAGTGCAAAGTTGCAAACTGCAAAGTTGCAAACATTCTGAAACAAAATAATAAAATGAATATCTACTACCGAGGTGCATTGAACAAAGAATGTATACTTGAATATAAAGTATGAAACAAACATGACACTTGGAGTATGTTGAACATAAAAATGAATAAGACAATCCCTGAATAAACACTGTACTTGGTCTTGGTTAGTTCGGTATTTTACACTTAAAGCCCTGTTTAAGATCGTTTCTGATGAAATAGAACGGTTAAGATTGAAATTTGGACAAATGCTCTTGTCCCGATAATTTTAGGTTTGTGTGTTAGCACCCACACAATCATTCATAAAACGCATTAAACATTCGTTTACAAAGACGTCAAACTCACCGAGTGGTCAGGGATGTTCACTGATATGCTCACTCAAACATCGCTGCAAAATATGCTTTCCAACAGGATTTATCCTAGTTTTTGTCCGAATCTATTGACTTGACTTGGTACAAAAACTACCATTAACCCTGTGTTGTTGTGTGGAATCTGGTGCGCGTGGCTGCCGGTGCTGGGCGCACGTGATAGGAAACGGCAGCATTGCTGATACTTATTTTTTAGCTCCATACCTACAGACCGATTTCACGCAAAACAGGCATAAATTACATGCATTGTGAACGTCAGACTTATAATCATTTTCGTTCTGTCTCGTTTTGTCAACGAAAACTCGAAAACTCTCGTTATGTTTTAGTCACCTCAGAGCTATTTTTAGCTAGTCATCTCGTTATCGTCATAAAAAACGGTGCGTTAACGAAATCATTTCGTTATCGTCATCACTGACAAAAACATCACTGGTTTGTCAGTGCTGTTTTATCTGCTTTTAAACTGGTTTAAATCACTGAGACATTTGTGTTCTTCACTGAATTCAAGCACTTCTCACTGGATCTCATGACCGAGACCGATTAGAGTAAACGCATCTGCTCTAGTGAGCTTGTGCTGCTCTGCTGTTTAGACTTTTAGCCGACCGGATAAATGGTCCGTGTGGCGCGCGGTTCAAATGAGTTTTGTTCAGCTTTTGGCACATAAACATTATCGAACATTTATCAAAGTCTTGATATCTTTTTATCGAGAAAAATTATATTGCGATAACCATCGTTATCGTTTTATCGCCCAGCCCTATTTATAAGCAACTGAAAAAAGCACAAATGTCAGGGCTTGTCCAAACATCTCAAGGACCCCAAAAACACCTTAGAACCCTGAGGGTTAAACAAGAGTAGTGAGCAATTTCCTTTGCCTTTTGTTGTTTGATTAACATTAAAAACAGGCAGCAGTAATATATTAAGCTGCTTTAACTTTAAGACCCAATGCATGGATACATATGTTCACATAAGGCATAACTGACTATATTTACTAGGATACTTGCCAAGACAGTCATTTTGAGATAATTTTGTGAACTGTTACATTCAAGTGCAAGAAGACACAAAAGAGAACTCCATTTTACTAACTAAGGTGCTTCTCACACAGCGTTCAAGTACCAAAATTGAGTTCTCTTTCGTGTCTTTTTATGCTTGAATATTTAAATTTGCAAAGCTTAACATGTGCAAATGATGAACTTTTGTGATGATGCAGTGCTGGCCCTATCTTTGTTCATGCTGGCTCCGGGCAGTTCTTATCGAGCCCTGCTATATTTTGTACCGATTTTGTTAGGGCTAGCATTTAATTATTTACCCAGAGAAGAACATTGGAATATGCAACAAACATTAAACAACTCTGTGCTTTCATGCAGTTAATTTTTTTCATACCTTTTTCATGCTGTTGCCAATATAAAATTGATCAAATATGTATCTGCCCATTTTTGTAGCCTATTGATGCAACTCTAGTCTTACATGCGTGATGTATTTGCTTACATTACATTTGCATTCATGCATTTAGCAGTCTCTTTTATCCCAAGCAATTTGCAAAAGAGAAATTAAAGCAGTTTGTCAAAGAGCCAACAATATTTGTAGTATACAGTGCCAGGTTTATTAGACAACTAGATTAGGAAGCAGGCTTGTGAGTTGGAGAAATGCAGAGAGAAATGTTTGTGATTCTGTAGGTTCTCTGGATAATGGACACTCAGTGCACATGCGTGTACTCCAGACCGTCTACAGGAAATTGACTTGCACTCGAGCAGACTGCCCTCGCTATGGACCACACTGGGAGAATGTGGGCTTTCAAGGTACGTCAAAAATTGAAGGCACCTGTGTTAAAAAAATCAAGATAAACTGTTTAACCACAATCATCGACTATTTAATTTTTCATGATCCCATAAAATAGAAGTCACCTGTTTGTAAACTTTGTTTTTGTGTGACACTTTCGTTACTCCCAGGTTCAGACCCTGCTACAGATCTAAGGGGAACTGGTTTTCTGGGTCTGATGCACATTCTCTACTTCGTCATGGACCCAGAGATACTACCACTTGCTAGAGACATCTACAGACTCTCTCAGCATCCAGTCCAGGTGATGCAAAACACAAAGAAACACTCTTCTTCACGTATCATGTCTTTAAAAAACTACAAACTTATTGTTATCATTCAATTATTATAAAAATCCTTATTTTTATTTTTAACACCTGCAGAATTTTCCATTCAGTGTTATGTCAATCAACATGACCCGGATCGCTCTCCATGCTCTTAGAGAGGAAGTCCTGTCCAAGTAAGTCATGATTTTTCACAAGATTACCTGAACATTAACTGATGGTTATTTTGAGTAATATTAATTGCTTGTGTTTTAAAGCTTTGAAATCATCTGAGTGTATTTGTGCTGTAGCTTAACATAACCTCTTCAGTTGTTTTCATTGCAATAAAACTTTTGTTGCTTTGTGATGTCACCTAGGGAGTGTAACCGAAGGCAGCAGGTTGTAGCTGTACTGAATGATTTTTATGTTGCAACATTCCTGCACCTCTATCAGCTGTGGAAGAACCAGCAGAAAACTATCTCGGATTCTGGCCATGTACTCAAAGGTGACTTTTCAGTTCAAATTAACAGCGTAGTATTTGTTCTTGGTATGGTTTACTGACATTCAGCAGAGATTTTAATGAACACGGTGTCATTTGGTCAGTATCATTTGAAGCGGCCATAATTTACTTTTATTTTTCCCCATATAGTTCATTTATAATAGTAAAGGTTTGCTCCAAAAACATGTTTAACTCTCACTGAACCTTGTTACTCTGACTTTAAGAGTTTTACGTGTATATTGCCCTTTGTAGTTTAGAGAGTAGTCTGGAGAACCACTTTCCTCCTGAGTTTTGCTCCAACACCTGCCCAGATGTTTTCAGTGATCCTGAAGACCATAATTAGCTGGTTTAGGTGTGTTTAATTAGGACTAGGACTAAATTCTGATGAAAGGTGGCCCTCCAGGAGTAGGATTGACCAAAGGGTCAAGGTAGCCTGGATGCTGAACATTTAAGTTTATCTACTTAAAAAAAAAGTCTGACCACATCTCTGTTTCTTCTGTGATGCACAGAAGTGGAGCTTTTTGCTAAGAAGAACCCCAAGCAGATTCTCAAACGTCTCGAGGGCTACCTGAAGGAGCGACGTGCTGGGACAGGACACCGGACATCACCAGACACACTATCACATAGCAACCCATCGCCTTGTGACACTGGGTCTCAAGCAGGGAGTCAAGGCGGGAAGGAGGGGAAAGAGATCAATTTCATCGGAGTGTGTGAGCTGCCACCTGAAATGGAGGGAGAGGCGAGACTAATCTGAGAGACATAGAGGCATTTGATTTGTACAATCTCAACTATCTCTCATGCTCTAACTTGGTCTCTCTGTTTCTTTGTTTCCTTTCTGTCCTTTCTTGCTTAAGTACACTCAGAAACAAGTCTATGTTGTAACTGTATTGCTATAAAACTCTTCACGGTCTTCTGTTCTCTTGTAGTACATTGGCTCTTTAATGCTTTCTATGAAAAAGACCAGTAGATTTAGTAGCTATCAATTAAAAAGGAGAATCTTAGAATGACCTGCCTCAGTTGCAGGCAGCAGTTGTCTTGAACCTGCCTGAAAGAAAGAGGCTTACAGGCCTCATTGGTGTGCAGTTGCAGAGTGGCCTGCAGAAGCAAGCACCTTACCCACAACTGTGGTATTGAGTGAGAAAGACTTCCTGTGTGAAGGCCTGACTATTAGGCATGTGTTTGAGTGAAAGCCTTGTCCTCATGGTCATTTGAACATGTTCACTGTGACCGAGTCAATATTCAGGATAGTTTGCAGAGTTCGTATTGATGTTGAAGAAGTTGTTTTATTTAAATAGCAAATGTAATCAAATGTTGGCTGTTTTTTAAAATCCCTTTAGAGAGATAAATGTCACAATATGATTCAGAGATTTTCTGGCATGTTTATTTTGGCAGGAACTCTTCAACAAGAGCCTGACATGGTGAAGTCAGGACATCTTTTGCATTTTAAAGTGCATTTTAGTGACCTGTAGACCAAAATGTATGAATGTGTGAGTATCTATTTTGCAGTTCCGTTACAAAGCTTACATTGACCCTTGCAGACTGATCACTATTAACAGAATTGTCTTTATCAGCTAAATTCTCTTTGCGCTTTGAGCCACGATTAGGACTGTATTCAAAGTTGAATGTGATATTTGGAGGTGTTATGCTTGTCTGCATGAAGCAAAAGCCTACATGTTTCTAGCAGGTCAGGTACATTCCTGTTGTAAGTAGTCATAACGTGTCTGTGAAACATTGTGAGGACGATCCCATTGCAAATAACTTGTGCTGGGTCATTTCAAGTATCCCGGAGGAGCCCCGAATTTATGTTTTCAAACCCTGTTATGCCGGAAATGATCCTAAAAAAAGTTGTTATCGGTTTCTTATGACATTTCTCATGCTTGGACCGCTTTCTCAATCTGCCTACTAGCTTGTCCTGAGAGAATAGATGGTGTGTTTTTAAACTGTTGGACTGATTAAATTGTTACAGCACTTTTAGCAATGAAAGTGTGTAAACAAGGCTTAATAGGGCTACTCGTGTCTATAAAACATGGCTTTAAAAAAAACATTAGCCAGGACGCTGCTGGTCATTTAAGCTGTATGTTATACGTAAGCTAATGATTATTTCCTTGAGAGTTGCATGAGACACGTCGAAAACTTCAATATCTAAAAGTGAATCACTCTATTGAACTTCTTGCATCTAACAAACAGCATTCAAGTAGAGATGCGAGACCTGTTTATAGTATAGTCAAGGACACCGTGAGACTTGTTGATTTAAACACGAAAAAAGTAGAATACTTTACTTTATTTACTGTTGAGCCACTTCAAGTTAGTGCAGAAATCAAGTTAGTTGAGAATTTGATGTATTTTTGTCATTTGCGTCTTGTTCTCCTTAGTCCAGGTCCATTAAAGATGTGAGGGTTACAACAGTCATGTAAATTAACAGTGATGTACTGTACATTTTGGGAAAAAAAACTTGATGGGGAAAGTCTTTCCTCCCTTTGCAACCCTATCCTGCACTCTCGTCTTGTAAGCATGTCAGGTAGCGCTAGAGATGTAGCATCCAGGAATAGTTGTTTTCAATTCCTTGTTAAAAAAGCTTGTTAATCTAACTTGGTATGGTTGCATATGTTTGTCTAAGTTACCTAGTCCAAAGTGTTGTTAGACGATATGAGTACAGTGCGTTCTGTATGTTTCAGGTTTATTTGTTACGCTCTTACTTTATTATTGTGTATCCCCCCCGTTAAACGACATGAATATAAATACTCAGTGGATGTATATTAGAAGTCTTGTCACTTTAGCCAGTTTCATTTTATATAAAGCAGAGTAGTATTTTATAAACTTGAATAAGAGCAAAAGCATGATGGGAAAAAGATTGTTTATATACAAAGGCAAATCACCCTTTCCAGGGTTATTTAATATAGTTTGGCCGGTTTGTATTAGTTTATATAAGCAGGTTCAACACTTTCATAATCCTGTATATCCGAGTGAATTCAGTGCTGCTGTAAACTCCACGGTAAGCATTGCACTTGAATCCCGATGATTTTGTTTTTCATACTGACCTGCTGAAAGCAAGAGTGAATTTTATGATGTTACATAATAGTATGTCCGCTAATTTCAGTTTCAAGCGGTTAAGAGGAGACACAAATATTGTCAAGTGAGAGTATTGACCAAAAAAACAACAACGATGGAACGCACATGTACATTTCCTTCTGTTTTAGGATATTTCAAGCCGTCAACTAGCCGGTTACTACTACTCAAAAGTGTGCTTTTATCTTGCATACTACATTGCTCAAAACTCCTTATGAACAATCAAACCTGCAGATGATCATGATATGAGCCTGGTTTGGCACATTTTCTTGTATATGTCCACACAATCAGTTGTTTAGTCGTTGTTTTGCTGTATTTAATTTTATTTTTTTTTAAAGGAGAGGGTGGTCTGTATGTGAGATGACTATTAATGTATATGTCTTCTTTTCTTCTTCTTTAGCGTCTTCTTAGAAGAAAAGAAGATATACATAAATATATATATATATATAAACAAAATTATATGATTGTAACATGATGATTGTTACCGGGGCATATTATGCATACCTCAGGCTTCAGACAAATCTCTTCTGGGCAGACATTTTATTGAGGACAGCCATGATCCCATGTCGTAGCACAAAATGGTGTGGTGTCTTTTGCAGTAATCTACCTAGCTTGAGAATGTACTGTATGTATATGTATGTACACTAATGCAGCACTGCAAATATTGACTTCTACAATATATATTTCTATAGCCCATGTTTGTGAAAACCGTAGTCTTACACGCTGAAACGCAACTGAACCTTTGCTGGAGGATGTTTTTAACAATCTTAATGGTTTGACGTCGAAACAAATCAGACAATTTTGTGGCCTTTGGTATTTACTGTGCTTTTGTGAATGGTTTTTTGCAACGTTGCAATGTCAAAAACGATTCACTCTACTATGGCACAATGTAACAATATTTGTTTGGACCAAAAGGAACATTTGTGGGTTTGAAGCTGGTTTGGAGGTCAAGCTCTTTTAATGAGAAATCTTGCCGTCCTAAATGTTAGAATCTCTCCTAAATGTTAGATTTCTTCCCAGTGTGTTTTAGATGAAAGCATTCCACAATACTTCATTTATCTGGTCCACTGAGATGACATTTATTTGTTGAGAAGATACAAACCCAAATGTCCAATTTGATTCATTTAGTTGCCCTGAGTCAAATTAAAACAAAAGTCCAAAATTTCCTGCACTTAATTTAAAGATGCATCATTATTGTCTGTTATGATCCTTCAGAGCATTTTATTATATCTGAACCTTGATTGTAGAATCCCTATTTTATAATGAAAATATATTTCAGAATATATGCGGTGGTACAGTGATGTATCTTATGAAGAGTAATAAATAAATGCAACTTTAAAAACAATGTTAAATTGTGTTGCATCGTAATTCCTTACATGTGCACATTTGTTTAAACCAAATGGAAAATAAATGTCTCTATCATCATAGTTAACTTATATCATTCTTGCATTGTAATAGTGTGTATTGAACATTAGGGGTCAGTCTTCTGTAATGGCTGATGCAGTCTGAATACTAGCTATATGCTTTCCTGTACTGAATGTTTTCTCATCTGTTTATGAATAACAACTGTAGTTTCCCTCAGGAATTACTTTTATCTTTGTTGCTTTATAAAGTTTCAAATGTCTGGTTATTCACAACACACAGGAATTACATTGAGTTAAATATAGTGTAAATGAATATGTTGTAGACTCTGAGAATGTCATCTTGTATCTAGGAGACCCACATGAAATCTGTGCTGCAGAACTCTACAGGAAGCTCCACAGATTTGATGGAAATGCTATTGAACACAGCTTTTTATTCATCTCTATATATAATTTCTACATATACTTATAGATTGCATTGCAAATTGTATACATTACATGTTAAATGAACATGAATTGTTCTTTTTTAATTATAATGAACAACAAAAGTATATTGACCATTGCTGTATATTATGTTTTCTAAAAAGAATTGATCATATCTAATTCATTAATATTAACAAAGTGAACCTTGTAAAGTGTAAAGTGAACCTTTTCTCCTTAATATGGTAATCCAGAAATATTCATTATAGGACTATTTTTCCTGCACACAATGAACTGCTCCTCTGAGGATTTTGGCCTACATTTCCCTGGCTGACACATCAGAACATCAAATGCAAACCTGCTGTGGATCTGATGTTGTCCCTTTTTCCCTTAGTCAGGGTAACAGATTCAGACTGCTCTCTCAGGGCTCAATTTAGAGAGACTGGTGATTCTTCCAGGAATTTCTCAGTCAAGGAGGACAAACATCTGGCCTGGTTTGTTGAGAGCCAAAGAATAAAGAAAAAGGCACATCCTAAGAGGCGAGGGAAAAAAACAAAAATTATCCAATCAATCGTTGTTAAATGTATCCTCAACATTTATTATAACAAATGTAATATTATAATTATTGGCTTTTACATCTCCTTTAGTTCCAGACTAGTCCTGGCTGATATCTGAATCTGGCTAGGCTGAGGAGCAGCTCTCTCCTGGAAATGCTTATGCCAGATGACATCCTGTCTGGATGAAGGACACAAATAATGGCCAAGGAGTTTGTGTTTATAGACGCATGCTTGAAACAGAGAACAGCACTGTTGTATTCGACTCTGTTCTAGTATTTTGAAGGAAAGCTTTCACTTCTTAATCTTTTGTTTCCTGAAATAATAGTAGAATAATAATACAGTATGCACACTGACACAAAAATCGATAATAGAACAGGACAGATTTAATTAGGTGTTATTTTGCGGAATGTCCTGGCTGCTCTTTTTCATGCAATTATTTAATATTCAACAGTATTATTGATCTGCCTGCATTGACATCATTATACGAGAACTGAACTAAGCTGGGCGATGACATCACTGTTTTCTCCAGAGCGATATATATATATATATATATATATATATATATATATATATATATATATATATATATATATACTCTATATACACTCACCTAAAGGTCAGAATGGGAAAGAAAGCAATTTTGAACGTAGCATGGTTGTTGGTGCCAGATGGGCCGGTCTGAGTATTTCACAATCGGCTCAGTTACTGGGATTTTCACGCACAACCATTTCTAGGGTTTAAGAATGGTGTGTAAAGGGAAAAACATCCAGGCGAAAATGCCTTGTTGATGCTAGAGGTCAGAGGAGAATGGGCCGACTGATTCAAGCTGATAGAAGAGCAACTTTGGCTGAAATAACCACTCGTTACAACCGAGGTATGCAGCAAAGCGTTTGTGAAGCCACAACACGCACAACCTTGAGGCGGATGGGCTACAACAGCGGAAGACCCCACCGGGTACCACTCATCTCCACTACAAATAGGAAAAAGAGGCTACAATTTGCAAGAGCTCACCAAAATTGGACAGTTGAAGACTGGAAAAATGTTGCCTGGTCTGATGAGTCTCGATTTCTGTTGAGACATTCAGATGGTAGAGTCAGAATTTGGCGTAAACAGAATGAGAAGATAGATTCATCATGCCTTGTTACCACTGTGCAGGCTGCTGGTGGTGGTGTAATGGTGTGGGGGTGTGGTGTAATGGTGTGTTTTCTTGGCACACTTTAGGCCCCTTAGTGCCAATTGGGCATCGTTTAAATGCCACAGCCTACCTGAGCATTGTTTCTGACCACGTCCATCCCTTTATGGCCACCATGTATTATGGACAAATTACTTGAGCTGGACTGTGACGTTATTTTCTTCTAGATCTGCTGCACAGCAGAAACAAACTTTGTTGCATTATTTTCCTGTTATCACAGTAAAGCTGCTTTAAAACAATCTGTATTCTAAAAAGCGTTATTTAAATAAAGGTGACTTAAACTGACTTGACTACGCTATCTCACGACCAATTCGTACAAATTCGTACGAGTGATTAAAAAGTGGCTAATTTGTACTAATTCATACGACTTCACTCATACGAATTCGTACGATTTGTCCAAACCCACGTGATGGGTAGGTTTAGGGGCGGAGTCAGGGCTAGGTCATTCGTACGAATTCATACGAATTGGCCAATTCATAAAATATGTACGATTTAGCAAAAACTTACTAATTCGTACGAGTGAGGTCGTACGAATTGTTACGAATTAGCCACCTCGTAAAATTCGTACGGATTCTCGTGAGATTGGGTTGGACTTGACAATAAAGGTGAATGTGAAGGTACATTCAAATAATGCATGTCACTGCATGATGCCAGATCTAGTTTCACATATTAGCATTGACACAGTTTCACATATTAGCATTGTCTGATGAAGCGTTACACGTTAAACGTTACGTGGTAAGCAACCATTAAATTTGCTTAAGAGCATCTTCTGGTGTGCGGACTTATTGGACTTACTTTGATTGCTATCTGACTGCCCAGCACCCAGTTTTATTGTTTTGGATGTGCGTGCTACACCTCTTGAACTCTAGACATATTAGCATTGAACCTGTGAGATTTGAGGTATACGTTGAAGGAAAATAATTTCAGTGTTTTTTTTGTTTTTTGTTTTTTTACACATTCTGCTAAACATCTCCTTCATGCTGAAGAAACAAAGCTGTATAGGTCTGCAATAAGGGTGAATTAATAAAAAGTTACATTTTTGGATGAACTGTCCCTCAAAATAATGCTGTCGTTTTGTGTGATAGTTCTGTTCTTAAGCTGTTCAACTCAGTATTGACTGTGAGAAGGGTTACGATACAAAAAAAGCAACAGAAAGGGAGGGAAAAATTTGTCTCGCAAATGCTCATCGGAATGTTATCAGACTGTTTTAAGACAGATGGCTACATCTTTCACACATAAGCATGCTGGCCAGTTTCCATTACCCCTTCCTACTCCTTCAAATGTTGTCGCAAGCTGCAGACCCTCTTTCCCCTTCATCATAGGCTCAGTGGTTTGTGCTAAACTAAACCTCTGTCAACATTTTAGTGTCGTGAGTCAGAGAAGCACACTGCTCTTTCCATGACTGAGATGAAAATGTTTCTTCCAGAAAAACGTCTTAGAGTGGATATTTAACAAAAGCTTTGTGCTGTTGAATACTGTAGACTGTGTGATGAGACATTCTTTCAACCTGCTTCCCATCTGAATCTTGGTAGCCTTCTGGCTGATATCCCCCTCCTCCGCCTCCTCTCTCTCTCTCTCTCTCTCTCTCTCTCTCTCTCTCTCTCTCTCTCTCTCTCTCTCTCTCTCTCTCTCAGCTGTATGTTCTGGTTCTTTCCCTCCCCCGCCTTCTCCTTAATGCACAATTTTCCTGCTTTCATTACTTTTATACCAGCTTCTCCCTCCTCGCCTTGCAAAGCCTTTTTCTCTTTGCTCTTGACAGTCCTGGCTAGGGTCTGCAAGGTCATTTTGTGGTTGGTTGGACAGTTCAGTTCATGTTTATTTCCTTCAGCACAATTCAAAGGCATATGTGTACATACAAGCACAAATATACAGCTCCTTTGAGTACTGTTTGTGGTCTGGACTGCTCACAAAAAATACAAGAGGTGCGTTTCACTTGAAATCCTGCCATCGTCTCTCTGTCATTTAGTATCTGTCTATCAATCAAAAAACGTTTTATGATAAACATACTTTTATGATATATATTTTTTTTTTGTCATTTAGCAATTCAACTTTGCCATATTGAAAAGCTAAACATCTGCTAAACATATCCTTTTGTGATCCGTTGAAGAAACAAAGTTGTACATGTACAGAAAATACAATTATTGGATGAACGGTCCACTTAAATTATGCTTTTATGGTAACACTTTACAATAAGGTTCATTGGTTAACATTAACTAACATGAACTAACCATGAGCAATACATTTGTTACTGTATTTGTTCATCTTTGTTAACGTTAGTTAATAAAAATACAGCTGTTCATTGTTTGTTCATGTTAGTTCACGGTGCATTAACTAATGTTAACAAGATTTAAATAAAATATTAGTAAATGTTGAAATTAACATTAACAAAGATCAATAAATGCTGTATATGTGCAGTTCATATTAACTAATGTAGTTAATTAATGTTAACTAACGGACCTTATTGTAAAGTGTTACCGCTTTTATTTGGTCTGTCTGAGCAAACCTCTTTTAAGTTTGAAAACTGGTGTATTGTGGAAGTTTAAAACAAGGGATGTAATGAAGATATACTTTATGGGTCAAGACAAGAGATCAGGTCCAGAAAATCTGTGTGTGTGTGTGTGTTGGAGGATGATATTAGGTGTCTTTTCCATATTGCTCAGATTTTCTTGCCACCATGGGGATATTACATTAG